TCATTTGCAGAATATAGACAGGCCAAGAATAAGGCACTTTTTAATTTCAGGAAACTGTGCTATAAATCCAAATTATAGGAAACAATTAAGTATGCCATAGTTTGGAATATTACATAGCTCTTCAAAAACATAGGCAGCTTTGTATGTTCTGATATAGGGGAAAAAACACCTTAAGATGTATTAAGTGAAAAAATAAAGTGGCAGTATATATAGTGTAATCATATATTCATCATTTTTGTTTCTACCTAGTATTTTTTGAGATATCATTTACATAACATAAGTTTACCTTAAAATTTTGTGATTTGAAGCATATTAGAGTTGTGCATCTATCACCAAAATCTTATTATAGAATAATTTTATTATCCCCCAAAATAATCTCTGTACCCATTAATAACCACTCATCATTCTCCCTCCCCATCTCTGGTAAGCACTAAAATACTTTGTTTTTATGCAGTTACCTACTCTGAACATCTGGTATTAGTGGAATCATACAACCAGTGGTCTTTCATAACTGGCTTCTTTCATTTAGCATGCTTTCAAGGTTATCCATTTGTAACATATCAGTACTTCATTCCTTTTTATGGCCCAATGATATTCTGTTCTGTGGATACATCACATTTTATTTATCCACTTGTCAGTAGATAGACATTTGATCTATTTCTACTTTTCAGCTATCCTATATAATAAAAGGGTAATATGCAAATTAACCCTAATAGCAGAACAACCAGTTGCTATGACACACACTGACTACCAGGTGGCAAATGCTCAATGCAGAAGCTGCCCCTTGGTGATCAGTGCGCTCCCACAGGGGGAGCTCTGCTCGGCCACAAGCTGGGCTGACCATGGAGAGCAGGCCTAAGCCATCAGTCAGACATCCCCCAAGGGGTCCTAGACTGTGAGAGGGCATAGGCTGGGCGGAGGGACCCTTCCGAGTGCACGAATTTTCATTCACTGGGCCTCTAGTTATGAATAATGCTCTGAGCATCCATGTAGTTTTTGTGTAGACATATGTGTTTATTTACCTTGATTATATATTTAGGAATGGAATTGTTCTGTTCAGCATTTTGAGGAACTATCAGACTGTTTTCCAAAGTGGTTGCATTTTACATTCCCACCAGCCACACGAGAATTCCAATTTCTCCACATTCTCACGAACATTTGTTATTGTCCATGTTTTTCATTATAGCCATCATACTGGCTGTGAAGTGGCATCTCATTTTGGTTTTGATTTGCATTTTCAAAATGACTAATGATGTTGAGCATCTTTTCATGTGCTTATTAGCCATTCATAGATCTTCTTTGGAGATATCTCTATTCAGGTTTTTGTCCCATTTTTCAATTGGGTTATTTGTCTTTGACTATTGAGTTAAAAGAGCTATTCATATACTTTGAATACTAGTCCCTAATCAAATATATGATTTGCAAATATTCTTCCATTCTGTCAGTTGTCTTTTCACTATCATATGATGTCATTCAAAGTAAAAAGGTATTTAAATTTTGAAGTACAACTTATCCATATTCTCTTTAAGAACTTGTACTTTTGGTGTCATATCTAAAAAATTTTAACCCCAAGTGTTACATACATTTTTTAAAGCACATGAAATCCTATGTAAGTATATGTGCTTTTTCCTCTAAAGAGTCACAGAAATGTATATTAATAGTGGGTAACTTTGTAGGGAAGCACAGGGGAAGGAAAGAGAATTTTAAATTTTATTTGATTCATAGGCATGGCTTGAATTTTTATCATCTATATGTACATTATCTATTTTAAAGATTTTTTAAAACTGTCTTTTTAAGAAATATATGTTTTTATTAATTTCAGAGAGGAAGGGAGAGAGAGAGAGAGAGAGAAACATCAATGATGAGAGAGAATCATTGATCAACTATCTCCTGCATGCCCCCTATTGGGATCAAGCCTGCAACACGGCCATGTGCCCTGACCAGGAATCAAACCCATGACCTCCTGATACACAGGTCAGTGGTCACCCATTGAGCCATGCTGGCTGGGCTAAAACTATCTTTGAATAGCAAGTAGCAATTGACTATTGCTGGCACTTTAGAAGGTCTGATAAATGACAACTTTGTTTTCTGCCTGAATTCAAAACCAATTGAAATATAGACACAGGAATCAGAGAGATGAAAGCCATACCCCTGATTTCTGATACAGCCATATTAAAGGAAATGGCATAGAATAAGAGCCAAATTGATCTGTTAAAACACCTTGACCTCCCCTTCCCCACCTGGTTTATATCTTGAAATGGTCCACCCAAGCAAACATTGTAGTCTAAGAGTGTCCACACTTCCTGAGGATCAGTGCCCAGCACTGTTCGGGGGGAAGAGGTCAGCAATGAGAGACAGGATCCTCCAGGCCTAAGAACTTTTACTCTATTGGCTCCACCCAAGAGAAAGTTGTAAATCAATGCCTTTCACCCACCAACCAATTAGCTCACTCTACCTCCATCACAAGAACTAATCATGGAAGTAAGAGGTTTAAAACACTTAAGAAAAACCCCTCTCCATGGACTATAGAGAAGTAGGTAAAGTAAGCATCTCCCTCTGACAATTACTATGAAATTTTAAGCTATAGTAGATAGAAATTTGTACCTAGATGTTATATCTTGCCCCTGACCATATATTATAAAATTGGTTTGTACATGCCAGTGATTGGTATTTAAGTAGCAAATCAAGGACTTAAAGCACCTTGGAAGCTCCAAGGCATCTAGATAGGTATCACATTTCCTATGAAAGAAATTTGGGGGGAAAAAGCTCAAGATTTTAGGATAAAGTATTTACACTCAAAAAGAAAAATAAGGGTATTTAGGTTCTAAAGCACATGAATGGAGCTGGGAAGTCTAAGTCTTTTCAACACAGAAAAAAATCAATACAATACAGTACCTACTGATCTGTTTCTTGCTTACCACTGTGACAGGCAATGGATGAGGCCAGAGCCTTCTAACCCATGTTCCAGTACCTCATGTCCCAAGAGAATGATGCTATTAGCCCTCAGGAAAGATGGGCAGAGTCTGGAGTCATTAGGGCCCATAAGTTGGTCACCTCCAGCCAGATCAGCTTTTTTCATTTTCCTGGTGGGTCACTAAAGATTAATATTTTTCAGTGCCTGTCTTTATATGAACGACATTGGAAAGCACTGTGACATTAAGATATAGTGAAGACTAAGGTAAGGTCATGGCTTTTAGAAACCTCCATTTCACTGAGGAAAAAAGACAACTGTACTTACTAAAATTCCATGTACTAAGTGCTAAAATAGAAATGAGCACAGATGAGAACCTCAGTCGAGGTACCACAATAACAGCTTCTTTTTGTTGAGTAATTATTGTGTGTGAAGCCCTCTGGTAAGCCGTCTACAAACATTATTTCCATTGTGCATTAGAACCCTCACAGGTGGGTTCTATTAAAATTCCCTTTCCAGATGAAAATATCAAGACACAGATGAGCTAGGTAGCTGAGATTCACAGTGAATGAGCAGAGGAAAGAGGATTGGAATCTTTCTGTTTAAGCACTAACCATAGATAAGTTTTAACATCCAGTTGTGATCAAGTAGAAAGTATTTAAATACGGCACTGAATGATATCTTTCTAATACCTTCTCATTTAGTTATTGAACATTGTTTTACATTTGTTCTTGTTTGGAATAGATCAGATTGAATGAGTAACAAAGGTCAAAACAACCAATAAAAATCTGAAAGTGTTGCATACATTTAAAGGTAAAGCTCCCAATTTGGTAGCAGCTGAGCACAGACTCACATCTTCATGAGGCAAAGCAGGTAGAGTACCTTTTTCATCTTTGGGTCCTTAGCACAGTATAGGTAAGAAACTCAACAATATTTGTTGGGTAAATGATTGAATGAACAAATAAATGAATGGAAGAACAAAGTAAAAGAGCTGCTGGACACAAAAAATAACAACAGTCACAGAGGAGAAACAAGAACATCTCATTATGCAAACAAAATTAGTAGTGCCTTGAATATCTGCAATGATACAAAACAAAAAGTATAAGAAAATCATAGTTCGCAATCTTGACATTGGGCTTATTGCATTGTTTGAACTCTAGCATGTTACATAACCAAGAGACATAGAAGATATCTAATCTGACTTAATTCTGAAAGTTTCTTTTGTGGCCTAACAGGATATCATTAGGCCTCCGTTTGAACATGTCCCATTATATAAAAAGCTGCTTGGGACCAGCTTACATTTTTAGGTATACAGAAGTCTTTCTTATCTTGACCCCATATCTGCTTTCTGGTCTTAGTTCTTCTACTGAAAATCACATCTAATCTTTCTAGCTCATGATGGCTCATTAAATATTTGAAGACATTTATCATACTTTCATGTTTGTATTCCCATATCTTTTCTGTTTTCCTAGAATAGTATTTCTTCCTACTGGATTTCATATTACATAAGCATATGTGTTTCAACAGAATGATGGAATAATTAATGGACAGGGGACATACTTGTGGTTAGAGGCTTGAGAAGTCTTTTAATAGGACATATTCAGGAATCCATATAGACAAATTTGCGTGCTCCTGGATGGAGAGTTCTGCACATCTCCAAAGTTCCCTATGGGAGTAACAAGTATAAATACTGTCTACTCCTCTTCCCAGAGTGAGAATTCTCCTTGGCATATAAATTCACCTTTGTATTTTCTTGGGGCAAATTTTATATCCTCATGGCCTCTTCTCCCATCTGTCTAGTCTATAGTTTGTGCTTATGTACTCATCAGGTGCAAAGAAATAATGCAACATGGCCCTGACCCTAAGTGTTTACTGTGAGACTAACTTTGAAATGTCAAGTTTACAGGAGCATCCCTCAGCAAGTCTAGGAGTCTGACCTGGCTAAGTTTCATTCCTACATTCCAGAGTTTTCTGTTATCCTAATTTTCATCCTCTACTCTTGCTTACCTTTTCCAATTGTTAGGTCGGAGAGAGCCCAGGATCGGATACATGCAGACATGACAAGATAATGGACTTCCCCTGGAATTTCTCACAGATCAAGGTGCCAGACACAGATACCAGCTTCTTCTCCCTGAATTCACATACCCCCACACAGATAAGAACTTCGTCCTGAATATTCCGCCCATTCCCTGCAGCAGAGAATTCCTCAGCTCATGTCCCCGCCCCTCACCCAACCGCAGTATAAAAAAAGCGCCCCCCTCCCTGTTGGCGTGAATCCACGTGCCCTGTCCTTGGGGTACGTGGGTCTCCCGGGGACTCAGAGTAAACCTTTTCCTTTCCTTTCTTTTCTGATTCACTGGACTCTATTTCTTGCGCCGCCTCCTGAGCCACCTAACCTAACACCAATATCCAGTTCTCCATCTCAGGAGAATGAAGGATCCCATACACAACAAGCTAAATCAGTATTGTTGCAGAAAAATCAATCCAGACTCAGAATATAAAAACAGGACTTTGCTATTTATAAGAACTTCCCTGCAGGAAGTAAGGGGCACTGAAAAAAGGGATCACGATATCCAATCTCCTGACACATCTACCACACAGGGTTCAGTTGGTACATGAGCACAGCTCAGACCCTCCCTGATTTGCTTGTGGTCAGCAAGGCAGGTGGCTGATGTGACATTCATGGAAGGAAAATGAGATCTCATGACATCCAATTGAACAGAAAGGGTGGAATGTGTTCATACACCTTAGCACGCTCCACAAAGGCTACATAAAAAGGGTGTCAATAACATACATCTGAAAGAGGTCACAGGATCATATAATCTATAAAGGGTCACAGTGGTTATCTAGGACAAGAGGACATTGTAGGTTTATAAACATGTCTTAATATCTGCCCAGGAGGATAACATATTAAGGACCTCTGTTAGTTGAGAATTTTATCTCTTTTAAACGATGACACAGAGTTTTTGGTTTGTGAATCCTGTTTTCCTCCTCAGTACAGAATAGGCTGTGAGTCTCATTTCTAAAGGGCAACTTGTCCCTTTGCTCTCCCTTGAGGAAAAGGCTTCCCATGGCTTACTATGTGGGGAGCTGTTTTGCTTACCGGGTGTCATACTCCCCATCACCGTTCCGCCACAGGGGACTTTTAATGTTTTAATGGGGGCAGAGAGGAGTTTCAAACTGTCATTACTGAACTAAAGCCCCATTTTAAAAAGAGAGAAAGTGTCTAAATATTTATCTGGTCCTCTACATTGAAATTATACTAAGGAATTACTTTTCATTTTTTAGAAGCCATATTTTTGCCAATTAGCAATGAAACATAATTTACAAATCAATGCTAATTTATGACAATGAAACAATAAAATATTGATGAAATAAAAATCCCTAGGCTTCTGTAATGAGAGCAGGCATTTAAATTAATTCTTCACACTGGCACCAAAGCAATCTTTCCCAAACACTAACCAGTTCTTATTTCTCGCTTACAACACTTCACTAGCTTCCCACCTTTTGTAAAATAAAGCCCAAACACATTAGTAAGATAAAATATTTCCTTTTGGGTTGGCTCTTGCTTATTGCTTGTATTCCACCACTCGGATCTGCTCTCTTGTTTTACGGTACAGCAATGCTAAGCTACTTCTAGTTCCCTAATACATCATGCTGTTTTGTGCCTCATCATTCTAATGGAATTCCCTTCGCCAATGTTCACCCAGTAAGATCCCATTCATCTTTCAAAATCTAGCCCAGACTTTACCTACTCCAGGATATCTTCTTTGTACTAATGCTTCTTTAAATGAATTTATCACTTTCCTTTTACTGCCACTTCCATATCTTATCCATATTTCTATATTTCTATTGTTTCATTGAACTGCAAATGTCTCTTAGGCTCTTTGAAAACAAACTAATTTCTGTGTCCCAGAACATAGAACACTCTATAAATGCAAGCACTCTATACAAACTTTTCAATTATATGACACAGGGTAGATTATTTGATACACACTTTATATTTTATAGACTCTGAAAAATGAATGCAGATACTAGTACTTTAATGTAATATAGCTCAGACATGATCCCCACAGTAATCTTGCAAAGTGAGCAAGGCAAATATTTCCGTATCATTAAAACACAAGTTAGTAAGTGGAAATGCTAGAATAAGAACCTAAGACTTTGCCTCTTACCAGGGTTGTTGATAAACCTCTTGCAATGCACATGACAGCCTTCTAAAACAAAGAATTATCTGGTCCAAAATGTCAATATAGGTGAGGTTGAGAAACTCCAGTGCAGAAAACATAAACTAATCTGTAGTGACAGAAAGAAAATCAGTGGTTGCTTAGGAATGGAGGGGGGGTCGGGGGGAAGTGCCAAGGAGAACAAAAAATACAGCAAAAATATGGTATGTCACTCCCAAGATTTATTTTATTTTTTAATTTATTTCTTTAAAAAAGATTTTAAATATAGCTTACATTCAGTATTATTTTTTATTAATTTCAGGTTTACAACATAGTGGTTGAGCAATCATATTCTCTCTCTCTCTCTCTCTCTCTCTCTCTCTCTCTCTCTCTCTCTCTCTCTCTCTCTCTCCCTCTCCTACATATTCTGGATTAAGCCAACTACCATGTCATGGCCAGCCCTATGGAGAACCCCATGTGGTAAAGAACTGAGTCTGCAGAGTGACAGCCAGCAAGACACCAACAGCCATGTGTGTGAGGATCCTCCAGCCTCAGTCAATCCTTCAGATGACAATCTAACTACATATTGAGCAATCATATTGCTAAGCCACTCCTGATCCTCAGAAACTGAGCGTGGTAAAAATAAATGCTTGTTGTTTTAAGCTTCTAAATTGTGGGATAACCTGCTATGCAGCAATAGGTAACTAATCCACCCACCTACTCCTGGGAGTTAGATGTCAGTCTACATTTCGTGTGTACATGGTCTTAGGATGCCCATGTCCCAACCTATTAGCTACTTCTAGGATGGCACCTACAGATGATCCAATATGTTTTTAGATGATGGAACAAAAAAGAAATAAGGGAGCAGATGTAACCCAATCTGGCTCTCAGGCCTGGTAAAGGAGCTGGGTAAAGGAAGGGCATCCCTGTGACCGCAAACAAATACCTGAAGCTGGATGGGAAGCACAGCATGGAGACCTTCACGGGGGACCCACTTATGTTCCTGTTCCCAGAAAACAGACCAGGGCTGGAATGGGATTCACAAGCTAAGGAGAGGTTTATTGCAAAATATTGCTCTTAAAATATGCACTCTTAGAGCCACAGTTTTTGATAGGGATAAGACATTATCTCCAGGAGAGCCCAATTAAAATGCACATGCCACCTGGGAGAGGAGCAGAAACCCTCCTCCACTGATACTTAAAGAAGAGGGATTGGTTAAGAAAGTTGTTTTTAAGGCACAAGAAGGAGAGGGGAAAATGAGAATAGGAACCAAGTTTGTATCAAATGTAGTGCTAGTAGGGGCAGTTGATTAAAAAATAAACAAACATTAACAATAACAACACCAGCATACTGGTTCACAACCTTAGCTGGGTAGAATACTTAGGGGGCTTTCAAATTGCTGTGTTATTTTTTAAGGCTTCCTGGATAATCCCAATAGATAGCCAAGTTTGAGAACCCCTAAGCTGTGGGATATGAGACATCTAAGAAGGATGCTGAGAGAGCGAGGAGGAAAAAAGCAACAAAGCACTGAATTCAGCAAATGTGTTCTGTGTCTTTCACAAAGACAGCCGAACTGCTCTAGCTGCCGCTGTTTGCTGGACAACATAAACTCATCAAACTATCTCATATTGCATTCCTCATTTTTCACAGCACCAAGCATGCTGTTGACATCCTATAAATGTTAAATACTAACAATGGTCTGCTGTCAGTTTTCTTTATAGTTGTCACTGTTATAGAGCTGACTATCAGGGAAGAGGTTTTGTTCAGCCCTTTCCAAGTATTTGGACAACACAGTGCTGGTCAAATCAGTCTAACACAAACCCCAGGGCAATGTAAGAACAAGGGGAATGTCAAAAGCAGCAGTTCCTGGAGTATTACCTTATGTTCCCATAGTGATGTGGATCCATTGGCTTTCCAGAAAATCTCGGTCTCTATCTCTCCTCTCTGATCTTGCAGCTCTATATTCTTCTCCATTGCTAGGATTTGCTGTGAGCTGAGCACAAAATCCAGCAGATTGTCTCCCAGAGAACTGGCCCTCTGGCTCTTCTCTCTCTTAACAAGGCATTTCTAAGATCACCTGGTGTAAATGTTGGGGGTAATTGTTATAAAAGGAAGATTGAAAAGCATGCAAGGTCTGGGGAACCCTCCAGGTGTTGATAAGCAACAAACAATTCACAATCAAAGCCTTAAGAAAACTACATTTCCAATATCACACATCATGACCTTTCATTGTTGAGTAGCTTAGAATTATTGCACGTCCAGGCTCTCATGTGTCTATCCAGAATCTTGACATTACAAAATTCAAGGTTCTGCTTTGTTTTAAGAATGTCTTCAGGCTTCTGCTGGGAATTTCCTCAATACAAAAAAATGCTAATTGGTGAACAAGGAAAGGATTTGAGGGACTTCATGACCTGCAATCATTCTTTGGTAGAGTTAGATATTTTTAAACATACTTCAACAAAGGAACCACTCGCGTATGTGGGGTCTCTGACTGTCCCATTATGCAGCGTTCCCATATATGTGTATGTATGGTTCTTTCTCTTACTAAAAATAAATGAAATACTTCAGCATAGATAGTATGCTATATATTTGTATGTTCATTATTGTTAACTTATTCCTGTACCCTGGAGGTTAGTTAATATTTGAAATGACTTAAACAGGAATACAAACTTAAATAATAATAATAATTAGCATATTAAACTGTTAATCAAAAGCCCCCATTTCACAAACAAGCTAAGATATCACCTTATCAGTCTTGCTTTCTGATCAGTGGCAAAATTCATGTCAATTTAAAAAATAAATTTTATTGATTTATTCATGTATTTCAGAAATATTTATTTAGCAACTATATAATAACAGGCATTTTTAGCACTTGCCCTACATCAGTGAACAAAATAAAGATTCCTACTCTTGTAAGGATCTAATATTTTTAAAGATGTTTTTGTTGATAAGATTAGCAGATTTGGCTTCTGCTTCAATAGGTCACTGTTCAATAGATTAAATAGTACCCGACTTATCCCCCCCCACCCCCCCAAAAAAAAAAAACACACACAACACAATTGGAAAACTAAACATAATATGAAACAAGCGCTTACAAAGACTGAAAATTAGGGAACAGCCTAGCCAGTGTGGCTCAGTGGTTGAGCAATGACCTAAACCCAAAGGTCACTGTTCAATTCTTGGTCAGGCCACATGCCTGGGTTGCGAGCTCGATTCCCAGTGGGAGGCGTGCAGGAGGCAGCTGATCAATGATTCTCTCTCATCACTGATGTTTCTAAATAAAATAGTCATTTTTATCTCCAGTTTTCTATTTGGAAATTTGTATTACTATTTTTTCATAAGGAGCGCTCTCGGAACTATTTAAGCTTTAGGCCACACAAGGGGCTGCCAGAGAGCCTGTGAGAACAAGGAGATGGCCCTTCATCAAGCTTTCAGAACAGGTGGTATGACTGTTTTTGTGCCTGCTTACTATCAAAAGTTTTTATATGTGACAGAATTGGGTCTAATACTTGTTCCAATGTAATACACTGCCCAGTAAGGAGGTTGCCCAGGGAGGAGACCAAAGCAAGGTAACTGCATAATGTATCATCTAACCAGGACACTTTAAAGAGACCCAAACTGAATGGGACAGCAAGGTAACAGGTGCAAACAGATTCTGGTCCAAGCAAACGGAATCAATAGCCCCTCATCTCTTTCTAACTACTGGATGCTACAAATAGCTTCCAAAAAAATAACTTGTGACAGACCAAATGGGCTTAGATTAGCCTGTAACAGTTTGAAAGTATTTATGTATACATGCATACAAAACATACATATGTATGCATGTGTATATATATCCCTGTATATACATATCTATACTAATAAAAGGGTAATATGCTAATTAGACCAGGAAACCTTCCAGACAAAGCCATGGTAATGGGGTTGAGGTAGAGGTGGTTAGGGGAAATCAGACCAGGAGGGAAGGGCAGTTAGGGTGAGCAGGCCAGCAGGGGGGGTCAGTTGAGGGTGAGCAGGCTGGCGGGGGGGGAGGAGTTGGGGGCAAGCAGGCTGATGGGGGGGCAACTGGGGGCAAGCAAGCTGGCAGGCAAAGTAGTTAGGGGCAATCAGGCAGGCAGGCAAGTGAGTGGTTAGGAGCCAGCAGTACCGGATTGCAAGAGGGATGTCTGACTGCTGGTTTAGGCCCCATCCCTGTAGAATCAGGCCTAAACCGGCAGTCAGACATCCCCCGAGGGGTCCCAGATTGGACAGGATGCAGGCCGGGCTGAGGGACACCCCCCTGTGCACAAATTTCATGCACCGAGCCGCTAGTATATATATAAATGGGTATAAATATGTACCTATATGGGAACACACATGTGTATATGTATTTTAATTTTTCAAAAATAAAAACTAAATGCTGTTGAAATTTTTCTTAAAAATTAACTTAATAATCATTTCAAATATGTAGTGTCTTTTGGAAACAATTTAAGAAGTGTTTTTAGCCTGGCTGGCATGGCTCAGTGGTTGAGTGTTGACGTATGAACCAGGAGGTCGTGGTTCAATTCCTGGTCAGGACACATGCCTGGGTTGTGGGCTTGATCCCCAGTGTGGGGCATGGTGAAGGCAACCGATGAATGATTCTCTCTCATCATTGATGTATCTCTCTCTCCCTCTCTGAAATCAATAAAAAAATATTTTTTTAAAAGATTTTTTTTTAGTGTCACTTTTTATTCAAAAGACATGGATACTCAAGGACAAAGTGAGGGACTTTTTTTTAAGCAGAATAATTATATTTCTGGTGTTATTTGTCTTTACAAAACCCAGATCTCCCCCTATTAGGCACAGTAAGAAAACTACAGACCTCAGCACTTTCTCAGAATCCCATCAAGGCAGAGGTGAGAGTGGTGGACAGGATGGCATTTAAAGGGTTCTGAAAGCAGAAGCTACATTAAATGTTTCTGGGTGTCTTCTCTCTACGTATATGGTTCTCCCTTCCCTCTTTATATGTAACTATCCTCAAATCAAATTTCAGAGGCAGTATACAGTTTCCTTCAGTATAATCCCATGATATCAGTACATTTGACTAGAATTCTCACCATCTTCTATTTTGGCATGATTTCCTTAGACTCTAGAATCTGAAGCCAAAAAATAGCCATAAAAAATTATCAGAATTTTAGCATGTAGTTTTAAAGTTTTTAAAACTGTCAAATATTAATGACAGATTCTGTGTTTATTTCCTATTTGGAAAGAAATCTATCATCTCCTATTTCCCAAAATAGCTGCCAATGGGCTTTCATCACAGGAGGTTTTGGACACACTTGTCAGTCAACACCCAAGTTTCCAAATGCAAGGTGATAGCAGAGTCATTAGGAGAAAATATAGACTTGGTGTGACTTCACACTTGAGTGGCTTTCGATTTCCTGTTTGACAGTATGCTAAAGGCAGTGAAAAGTAAAGATGCGCAAGACAGAGAAAACAAAATTGTTCAATCTTCAGTGTCTGTGATTAAATCAACATTTATGTTAAGGACAATTTTTAGAAAATAGACTCTGTCAATGACTGCAATGAAAAAGTAAAACCAGAAACATAGATCAATGGAAAAGAATAGAGAGCTCAGAAATAAAGCTGTATGGTCAACTAATGTATAACAAAGAAAGCAAGAATATAAAGTGGGGTAAAGACAGTCTCTTCAGCAAACAGTGTTGGGAAAACTGGACAGATACATGCAAAAAAATGATCACACCATATACAAAAATAAACTCAAAATGGATTAAAGACTTAAATACAAGACCATAAAATTCCTAGAAGAAAAGATAGGTAAACTCTTTGATACCACTCTTAGCAATATTTTTTTTTTATACATCTCCCTGGGGAAGAAAAAAAAAAAGAAACAAGTGGGACTGTATCTAACTAAAAAGTTTTGCAGAGAAAAAGGAAACTGTTAATAAAATGAAAAGACAACCTACTGAATGAAAGAAGATATTCACCAATGATACATATGATAAGAGGTTAATATCCAAAATATATAAGTAACTCATACAATTTAACACCAATAAAGTAATCTGGTTAAAAACTGGGCAGAGGACCTGAATAGACATTTCTCCAAAGAGGGCATACAGATGGTCATTAGACATATGAAAAGATGCTTAACATTGCTAATCTTCAGAGATGCAAATTGAAACCACGATGAGATATTACTTCAGAGTGGCAAAGTACAAGGGCTGGTGAGCATGGGGAAAAAAGAGAATCCTTGTGCTGTTGGGATTGTAAATCGGTGCAGCCACTGTGGAAAACGGCATAGAAGCTCCTCAAATAATTGAAAACATATTTGACCAGCAATTCTACTACCATATGACCTGGAAATTCTACTTTGGGGTGCTTATCTGAAGAAACCCAAAATCCTAATTAAAAGATATATGTATTCCTGTGTTCATTGCAGGATTATTTACAAGAGCCAAGATACGGAAGCAACCCAAGTGTCCATCAATAGACAAATGAATATAGAAGTGGAACATATATACAGTGGAATATTACTCAGCCATAAAAAATAAAATCTTACCATTTGCAACAACATGAATGGATCTAGAAGATCATTATACTACGGGAAATAAGTCAGATAGTGAAAGACAAATACTATATGATTTTACCTAAAAGTGGAATCTAACAAAGTCAATGAACAAACAAAACAGAAACCAATCCACATATGCAGAACACACACGTAATTACCAGATAGGAGGGGGGATTTGAGAGTTTACTATGATATAAGGCTGAAAAAGGTAAAAGGATTGAAGAAGTACAAATTGCCAGTTAATAGGGGTGATCACTGTGTAAGGTCTATAAATGTCAAATCACTATGTTGTACACCTGAAACTAATATAATATTGTATATCAGCTGTACTTGGAACAAAATGTAAAGACATGTCCCTCAAATTTGTTCTTAAAATAAACATGTTTATGTTTATTCATGGACTTTTATTTTTCTATATAAATTTTAGAAGGCCAGTTTCTCCAATTTCATAAAAGCATCCATAGAAATTCCAACTGGAATTGCATTGAATTTAAGATTAATTTGGGGAGAAATTAAGTCTTCACTATATCACATGATCTTAGCCTAGAATAGACTGTATCTCTTCGTGTAAGTCTACTTTTACTAACTTAAATGGCTTTATAAGATATCTCTACTGAAAAATTTTGTGCATTTCACTAGGTTTATTCCTAAAAATTTTATAGGGTTTTTTTCTTGTTATGAAAGGGATTTTATTTTCTCATTTTGTTCTACTTACTTTTATCTTTTGCAAAAGAATGCCATTGACTTTTGAATGTGGAACTTATACCCATGATTACCTATTTAGCTGTTTTCTCCCTTGTTAACTCTCTTCTCTCTTTCTGGGACTATATTAAAAGAAAAGCTTGACATTTTCACCTCTAGTCTTTATATCTCTTTATTTTCCTTTCAAAATTTCCTTTTTTTTTTTTACCCTTTTTTGATGCTTTCATACAGAGTATCTCAATCTGATCTTCCAACTTACTAATTTTTACTTTAGTTTTATTTATTCTTCACTTCAAACCAACCATTAAATTATTTCACCTGCCCAAATATTAATTGAAGACCACCAAGTCCCTCTAATTGACACCACATGGTATAACAGACTCAAGTGAGTTGTGCCCAAATCCTTGACCCCAAAGATTGTGAGACAAAACTTTTTTTTTCTTAAAGATGACACTAAGTTTGGCATACAACAATGGATAACTAGGTCATCATGAAATGATAGTAAACAGCACTGTTATTTTATTATTATTATTGCTTAAAGTATTACAAAGAGTAGTCCATAGGTCTCCTCCCTCCCTGCCCCCCCCCCCCCCCAACACACACACACCTTCTCCCGGCCTCCCCTACCTCCTAGTGAACACTGTTACTTTAAGAGAAAGAGGAATCTAACCATGGTCTAGATTTTGAAAAAATAAAAAGAACCTAAAACTGGTTTAATCTAGACTTTACAAAGAAAATAAAAGCAGCCCAGAC